GATTGCCAGTGTGACCATTTTGGCCGGGAAAAGGTGTAGTATTTCCTCCATTCCGTAAAACTTGAGACACACAGTACTACTGTATAACACTTCAATCAAAAGAAATTTGTACCAAAGATAGCTAATGAGAAGACAAGTACAGGGATATTTTCAGATATTTTTTATTGCTTCGTAGCGCTTCACAACCAATCATCAAGGTTTCCGGCAAAGGCAATCCAATCTTTAAACTTACGTAGCTCAGTCATACAGTATCTCGTCCAATCGAGCTCAAATTTAGGCGCAAACGATTCGTCTCGTTGCATAGATTTAGCTAGCACACCTCAGTAACATCATTTTCTGGACCACGTTATCGACAATCATACGATGCCACGGGTCACACTAACCACAATCCCAACGACCTCGCCCTGAGAAAGTTGTGGGACGGCAATATCGGCATGTGGTCCTTTGTGTCGGTTGTGCCAGCACAGAGAAAGTACAAGGATCGTGAGCGTGGCACTCGTAGGACGACGCCGGTCACAGTGACGAAGAAGGTGTACCGAGAGTATCTACTGAGACATGTGATCCCGACGATCAAGGAGGTGTGGCCTGGCCGACGCAGTCAACCGATCTACATCCATCAGGACAATGCTCACCCTCATGTTGAAGGGGATGACGCTGCCGTGTCGTTGGTGGGTTGTTCTGATGGATGAAGGAGAAGGCTTGTGTGCAAAGCCTGCGATGAGCCCCGACATGAACGTCTTGGACCTTGCTTTTTTTAACTCTATTCAGTCCTTGGAGCATCTTGAAGTCGTCACTGGGATTGACGACCTTGTTGCAGCGGTACACAGAGCTATTGATGACCTGGATTGGCGCGTTCTTGAAAACATTTTTCTGACCCTTCAGAGCATCATGGGTGAGGCATTGAAGATAGGGGGCGACAACGCATTCAAGTTGCCGCACTCGCAGAAGGACAAGACTACAAGACTTGTTGCCGTGAGTGATCCAGATTTAGTCAAAGTTATCGAAGCAATGAATGCCAGGAAGGAATTCGAACTTAGGGTAGGTAACCTTTCTGGTGTGTTGCCCTCTTGTGAGATTGAGGGGGTGGTGTGTACGAAAACTGTTTACAAGGATGTGATCGCCAAAAACGTACGTTTTCACATCGATTGTGTCCAGTATTCTTGCCTTTCTGGTTGTCATTCTTAATCTTACTGATTGTTTCGGAACCGAGTTAGCAGTCGATAATACCTCCATTTTACGAACGACTTGGGCCAACCGCGTGGCATGTGGTCGACAGAGTCTTCAAGCAGCTAGAACATCTTTCTCCACGACAAATCAGTTTGCCGTTTCAAATCGAATACATTGTCAAATAAGCAAAAAAATTGACGCCCACCCTCGTAGACATGGCGAACTGGAATACCCCTAACGTTTTCAACAACGGTCAAATCGGGCAACTTTCCGGCCACGAGGAAGACTACCGAGTCTTCAAGGACTTCTTAGTCTACAGGCTCACAGATACCCAGACTATAACGCTACCTCCACCGCTGAACCGTTTCGAGAACACTTTTTTCGTCACCTCGTAGGTGTAAGTGCGGTATCCATCCGGTGAGTCCAACTTGAATTTCTTTTCGCCCGAGAAGACAACTTGACGCCAAAATCCAGCTACGCCATGCATCTTGCAGCAAAAACACGAGCATCTTGTGATACGGTTTCAGGTAATGCGCCGACTTCTTTTTCTTGTATTTGATGTACTTGCTCGATATGTACACATTGAGCATAGTGCGGGTGTCACATGAACCGATACTGTGTCGGCGCTTTGCGTTGCTGCACGTTTCGGACAATTTCGTTACGGTAAATTTGACGTATGTCACGCTACATCAATTTGACGCCTTTCCGACTCCTTGCTTCTTAGTACCGTACGTGTCCGGGAACTTCAGGTACAGTGTACGAACACACTAGTGACTCAGGTCGTTTGAGTCGGCATCCATTCTAACGATTGGATATTTCTCCTGATTCTAGGCAAAAGTTTGGCCCATTTTGGTGCCTGTGAGCTTGGGACCCTTGGCATGATACGCGGTTGATTATGATTCGCGCCATGAAGTTGCCTATTCATTGCTCAATTCCCCACACCAGTTTGTTTTCATTTTGAATGTGTAATTTACATACATATATAGACATTGACAACACAGTGCGCATAAAAACATTTCCGACGCCTCACACCGGATCATTTCAACCAACTTCCTACATATTTATTGTATTGTAGACATTAGACTGATTTCGCAAAAAGTATTCACTCGATTTCCCTGCAAGAATTCACAAAACATCTCACAGGAAATATCCTGTGGAGTAGAGATTTCGTCACAGGGAAATTGTCAATCGCCAGGTTAGAATGAGCGTCGAGGCGACCCTGCTGTTGCCCCTTGTGGTACTCCTATTTACATCTGTGGCCCAGACTTCCCCGTGCAATTACCATCCCAAGCACTCAATTTGACTTTGCCGCCCAGACCGAGGCAGACATCCTCTTCAAGTTTCGCTTCAGCAAGTGCGAGATCAGCGAGCTAGTCAAACTACTTCGCATCCCAGACCCTATCGTAACTCCGAGCAGGCACCGAGCGTCCGCCCTCGAGTCACTCTGCATGCTTCTGAATCGCTTGGCATGCCCGCACCACCTTGGCTCAATGACGCAAACGTTTGGTCGGAGTCGAGAAGCCCTTTCTTGCATTGCAGACTTTGTTGCAGTGCGCATTCACGCGAAGCTCTCCTCGTTGCTCCATTGGGACCACATAAGATTGAATGGCCAGTGGGTGAAACTTTGCGGTGGTGCCATTCATCGCGCTGGGGAGCCGCTGGAGACATGCATCGGATTCATCGACGGTACGGTCGCGACATTTGCAGGCCGGGCGAAACGGTACAGTAGCAGCCTTCAATGGGCACAAGGTAAGAAGGATGAGTTCGACAATTGGTTGACAAAACTTCATTCTCGTAGCACAAGCTCGCCCTTTAGTACCAAGAGGTTACCGCCCCTGATGGAATCATCGTGCACTTGGATGGTCCTGAGCCAGGATCACGTCATGTCGCATACCTCTAGGCCTGGAGCATTTGGTTGAGGAATTGCAGAATGGACTCTTTGTCGATGGAATCCGGTATGTAATCTACGGAGATCCAGCTTATAGGATAAATGATGTGATTATCTCTGGATTAAAAGGGGCATCACTGAATGCTCATGAAGCAGAGTTTAATCGTCAAATGAGTGCCAATCGTGTGAGAGTGGAGTGGGGTTTTGGCATTGTTCGTAAGCTGCGGACATTTTGTCGACTACAAGGGCAATCAAAAACTGTGGTTGCAAGCGGTTTGGGCATAGTACACTGTTGTCATACTCTTGACCAATATTCATACCTGCACGAGAGGAGGCAACCAGATATCCAGCTACTTAACACATATCCACCAACGGAAAGAGAGTACTTGAGAAGTGCCAAAGATAATTGAAAATTCAAAAATTACTTGAGTTAACTCTCAGACAACTTCTTCGCCAACCCACTTAGCAAATCAATGGTGCTTTCCATAAACTTAAGATGTGATTGATGCTTCTGCTGTTCCGAGCAAATCTTGCCTCCCTTTCGGCTTTGTAAACCAGGTACCGCTGTTCTTCAAGCTCCCCTTTTCGCTGCAACAGAGCATTTGTCTCCCACTTGGCTTCGAGCTCGGCTCGCTTGAATTTGTTTGACACATCAATCATCGACATGATGTCGACAACTGCAGAGGCTGCGTCCTTCAGTGCTGACGATCTTCTTCCTTCCTTCATCTTTGATCGTGTTGCGTCATCATCGAGACCGAGTGTGGCCGCCGTTCGTTTCATTGTCGTGAGTGCTGCCTCGCGGATACGATGGCCATCCGATTCCCTCTTGTCATTCTTCTTGTTCTTCTCTTCCTTCAGAGCCTTCTTCGCCTTGACTACGTGGTCCATCTAAAATGCATGCAGTGAAGTCGAACCGAATAATGCTACACACCACGTCTGCAAGATCCTGATGGAGCTATTCCCGTTCATTGTATTCCTCCTCGGTGCCTGATGCTCGCAATAGTTTCATAGTGTCCTTCTTAAACGCCGCAATAAGATCATCGTGGCGTTTTCGGCATCCCGCTGTCGTCAAGTCGGGGCCATGCAATCGAGGAAGGGGGGCCAGGTTTCGAGACCCGGTCAGTGTCAAACTTTTTCGTAAAATTATTTCCAAATAGAAATTTCAATCTTCAAAATTATATTGGAGAATAAAAGATCAATTAAAATTCCCGTGGAAATAAATTCTGTCGTCCGTTGGTGGGCGAGGCATCGGAATGGCCTTCGTGAAGCTTCGACGAACTTCTTCAGCAGAAACTCGATCCCATGCCAAGATAGCACGGCGAATCATTGCAATGCGCTTCTGAGCTGCGGTTGGTGAGTCGAAGTCTTCGCCATCATCACCTTCAATGATCTCTTCGGCTAACCATTCATCACGTAGGTACCTCTTGAAAGGAGCCATGACCCCCACATCCAAGGGTTGGCAGGCAGAAGTTGCGTTCGCAGGTATGGGACATAGGGCGCTTCCCAACTCTTCTTCCACGATCTTGTAGGACTCGTCCGTCACGTGCGACTCGAAGTTGTCAAGCAAGACAACAGAGGGGCCATCGATCGAAGTACCCAAGAGGTCCCGAAGGTAGGAACGCCACACGTCATTGTCCATCCACGCCTTCTCTTGAACTG